CGCTTTTTCGCCCAAACTGCTCCGAATTGAAAACGAATTGTGTTTTTGGAATGAGACTGTCAAAACTAGAATTTTGACATAATCAAAATATTTTTCTGAGAACTTTTATTTTTCTTAATGTCTGGGTCTGTCTCTGTCATAAATTAATTTAATAATATAAATGATATAAAAATATATAAATTTAATCCAAATCATGAATATGATGTTGTCAAGTGTCAAAGGTTAAGATTTCTAATCTTATGAAATCACTTTTGAATTGAGTTTAATTTATGGGTCAAAGTTACAAATTTTAATATTTAAAATTGACATAACTTGAAATCTATAAATCAGATTGGTTCTTAAAATGTACCTTTGGATTCGTCTTTTCGAGATATATCCATAAAAGTAAGTTTTTAACAAAAAGTAATTATTTTGAAAGTCCATTTATTTTTGGTCAAACGTATAAATATTCCTTATCGGACAGAATTTACTTTTGTTTTATAATAAATTTTAGGCCATATTTTGTGGCGTTACATTTCTTCCCCCCTTAAAGAAATTTCGTCCCCGAAATTTCCCTAGGTGAGAACTCATTTAAATGATGATGTACAGAATCATGAATTTCCATTGTTTTTGTAAAACACTAATTTTGAGAATTTGTTTTCTCTTTCTTTTGTTGAGTGTCATGAGTATGACATTTTCTCTTTTGAGAAAGGATATACGCGGATGATAGATGTAACGTTTTTGGATTTCTTTCATGACGACTTGCGTTGAATATATACTCTTAGACTTGCTCTTGTCGTGGTATAGGAGTTTTCAGAAGTTCTTATATGGGTTGCGTTTCGTGAATGAGGAGTAATTTACAAAATGTTTCGTGAATGTGGGGTAACTTGCAAAATTTTCCGTTTTTTTTTGAAATTCTTCTAGAATCATCCTCAGACGAGTTTGTCTGGAATGTTGGTTTCACAAATTACGCTTCGTTATTTACAAGCTGGAACGAATTATTTTGAGGTTTGACGTTTTTTTTACATAACGGTATTTTGGGAAATGACTATTACCATAGTCATCATTCTAGGTTTCTTAGATGAATATGTAATTATAGTTTCAAAACTTGAACTTTCATTAGCGATCCTTAATTGAGTTATACTAACTAACGTAATGTCAACAATCTGATTTCACATGGCTTATGCATGCCTATAACCGTAAACATGCATATCACACTTATGTATAACAATAATATATGTTTTTATCACATTGTAATGATTGGATGAACGTATTGGATAACACTTGTTATTTTGTCACTATTTGTATTATCAATATGATATGTAGTCATTTTTGAATACTGATTTTCTTATTGATAATTCCAGAATTGCCTTGGAATTTCCAACTTTCTCAATAATTATGATAGAGCTTCGTGCTCGAAAATTATAATATTAGTGTATTCGTCATATCACTAATATTCATCACACAATAGTTAAATTACTTATTACTAAACACATGACAAATTATACACATAGTCATATTCTAATATGTTTGGGATTCTATAGACACATGCGTGGTTTCTCTTGGTGGTCCGCCCAATTGACTTAAGTGGAGATCACATTTACCTTCAGTGTGGTCATATTCACCACACAAATGACAACTTTTCCTTTCTAGTTGTTGCACATATGTTCCTTTGTTAGGGTTAAAACAGAGTTGCTTGATCATCATTGATAATAATTTTCATAGATAACGTAGTCACATCAATCGTTACAGAGTATGATTTTTGAAGATCGGTATCATAAAACATCTTCTTGGGTTTGAGGGAGAGTCATGAGTTACAACAAGTTCTCAATGATTTTAAAAAAATATTGAATTCAATTTTTTTAAGTTTGATCAAGTGAGATGTTTTAAGTGTATAATTAACACAGCAAGTTTTAGTATTTTAAGGATATAGGTCACATGATACGAATATAGCGTTTGCGAATTATTGTGGCAAATAGTAGGTTTTCATCTTTTAATGTTTCACTCTTTCGAAGTTACTCAAGGGGTCATTGTCTTAGGTAAATAGTCATTTTGACTTTTCGTCTCGGATTTGAATGTATTTCAGGGCAATGAGCCTAACTATTCCTGAGTCTCAATATGTCATGTCGTCAGTAGATTGCAGTATTGGCGAATATGTTCTTGTCTGGAACGAATCCACTTTCCTGTACGTTTTTAGGCTTGTGATAATTACTTTTCCATCAATGGTCCAGTTTCAGAGTCTATATATATCAAATTGTGGCAGGAGCGTCTCACATTCTCACATTATGGAAGGAACTTCTCGAGCTCTTCCTAATACCATAAGATTCGTTGGTCTACTTGGTAGTCATGCTCTTGGTAGCAATCCAAAGTTCATGGCTACAGCGGTTGATCTAGGACGTGAATTGGTAAGGCGAAAAATCAGGCTTACCTACGGAGGAGGCAATGTTGGCCTTCAAGGAGCTGTAGCTTCAACAGTCTATAATAATGGTGGTAGAGTCAGAGGTTTCATACCAGGGTATATAGCGACACGAGGGGTCTATGGACCAACATATGGTGCAGAGTACACCGTCTCTAGCAATTACTATAAGTATTTTGAGATGAATCATATTGTGGAAGCCTTCATTGTACTCCCTGGAGGAATTAACACTATGGAGGGTTTATTCACTTTGATCTCATGGGCATCCGAAGGGTTACATAGTAAACCCATTGGTCTTTTGAACATTGATGGTTATTTCAATAACCTAATCAAGTTTCTAGATGATGAGGTGAGGCAGAACTTCATGGCTTTGAATCAGAGGAAACTGTTCATTTCTTCTTTCTTTGTTGATGAGCTTTTGGACAAGCTTGAGTTTGCTAATGCTTTCCCAGGTCCTGGTGCCAGTTATGAAGAGTTTGCAAATCCTGGAAGATTAGACTTAGAGTTGCACTTGTAATATTTCCAAGTTGAAATAATATTGTCCATGTAAATATTAATCCTTTTCTTTATCTTCCAGTTTTTCACTTTAGGTGTGACTGTTTCACATCTTGTTTTGTACTGTCATCTTGTTGCGACTTTTTGCGTCAATAGGGTATACGAACGAGTCAATTATCTTAATGCTTGTATGTAGATTCATCCCTATAATGTGTTTCAGATTCGATACGTATGTCGTATTCGATCTTGTTTGTGAGGCTCTATTCGTGTTCGGTAGATTCATTTTTGGAGAATTTATTCACTTTCTATCGGAGAAAGTTCTCTCTTCAACGTATTCTTCGGGTTGTGAGAAGTTGATTCACATTATTCACATAGCTATTCGCGTACTATGACATACGTATATGTCGTGCCTATAGGGCTTACAATCCCTCTTCTCAATCCTTGATGTTGACTGTGATCGTCGAAGAACATTTCGAGGCAATCTAAACATTATTGTAATCGAGTCTATGAGGATACTAGCAACTTAAAGGAAGCAAATTCTCAATGAGTTAAGTATGTGTATTATGCCATAATAACTTACTTATTGATTACCTTCCCGGGGCAGAGAAGTCGTGGAGGATGCGGATGAAGGACTTAAAAATACTGACTCAATGATCCGAAAATCGTTTTGCTCCGATACCAAAATGTAACACCCCAATCCGTATAACCCGGAATTACACGAATTAAGGTGAAACGAGAGTTAAATAAAAATTTCGCTTGACATTTGAAAATGATAATTTCTTATAAATATTAAATTTACAGACTCTGGATCGCGACCCATTTAAAAATATTTTCAGAGTAATGCGGAAGTACAATAATAATCAAATCATGACACATTTAATATCTGATGACCAAACATTTGCCTGCCATCCTTGCATCTCCGCTGACTCAATGCCCTCCGGGAATGGTTCCGTCATTGTCTTCTTGTTACCTACGTGTAGTCAACGAAAAAATACAAACTACACGCTCAGCGAAACCGCTGAGTGGTACCACGCTAGAATTGTAGAATAATTCACAGACATATACATATACATATATATACGTCCGCAAAGTGTATAATAATGTTCATGATATGGCACATTATGTCATATGATCAATTTGATGATTCATGATGATAAATATTCACTGATAATTACATGATGACACATTTATTCAATTGCTAGTTCTTGGTGATGATTACATGACACCTATGTAATCAACATAACTATACTTGATGATGATTTCATGTTGTATGATTCTAAGTCAACAAGGAACGACCTTGCAACTATG